CCCTGAGACCCAAAACGGCAAGATGGCTTACATCGACGATGGGCTTGCCGCTGTCCGGCTCATGTGCTCGCAGTTCATCTTCAACCTCGAAGGCTTGCGACATGATGTCTTTGCTTTCGAGGACTCACAGCACGCTGTCTACCTCTCATCTGACAAGGAACGCCTCTTCACCGGAGACAACCACAACAAGTTGAACCTCAGGTGGATGCTCCACGCGATGAACTTCTTCCGTCACCACATGATGAACGAAGATGCCCAAACTTTGTTCGACAGGATCGATGAGCTAGACGTTACCCAGAAGCCTTCAGCATGGCGAGAACAACTCACCGACGGAGCCAAGCCTCTGAGCAGGTACTGGAAAGGCACCTACTCTTTCCTCGAGAACATTGAGGTTCAGAAGCTGCGAAAGCAGGGACCAGGCAGACAGGTCTTCATTGACAAGAACGTGGACGAGGGCAAGATCCAGGTAGATTTCCAATTGGGAATGGCCTTTACGAACCCTACTGATCACATGCAGTCTCTCGAGCTTGCTTTCGCAGAAGACAGTCGCCTACCCGATGGTCGCGAGCTCCCATGGCCACCCGTCTTCGAAGACCGCCTCCGCTCGCTTGGGAAGGACGCTGGAAAGCAGCCAGGCATCAAAACTCAGGGTCGAAACACTACCCCCAAGACAACTACAGGAGGTAGCATCCAATTTGAGGGCAAGGGCGAGGACCTCGACGATGAATACAAGGCCCTTGGCTGGCTCAACCCACTGCCCCCTCAAGGTGGTGTCCCCGGCTGGCAGCGCATCACCTTCATGAAGCACTTCACCGAGGACTACGACCACCCCAACGAGGACAATCTCTGGGCGTACGAGGGCGTTGTCTTGCCTGGTGGCCGCATCATCCTAGGCCGCTGGTGGTTTGCATCAGAGCCAGGTCGTAATGATGTAAGTACCACCTGCCCATGACATGGCATTCCTGCTTTCGATGGACATGTACTAACAAACGCTAGATGGAGTACAACGGCCCCTTCATCCTCTGGGCCGTCGACGAACCCGACTTTGACGAAGACATCAGTGATGATGAGGGTGCTTGAACGGCGAAACACATGATGTCGACGGCAACTTGGTTTTGGTCCTCCATTCCACAACACATATCCCCTTTGTATATCTTTTGGTCATCTACCTTATCTCCCCTGCACATTCTCTGGCGTTCGAATATATTTACATACCTCCGGTGGCGGAGTCTTCAAGGCCTGGATGCCTGGACATTTCCCTTTGCTTATCTTAGTTTGGCATCACATATCACATAGCCTCTTTCTCTTAGCTTTTGGAGATTTGGGAGTAGGACGGATGTCCTGAATCAAAAGTCTTGTTCAATGGTCGTGTGCAAGAGTTCGTCCGCATGATATCGAGTCTGTGAATGTACCAACCCAAAAGCGAACATGTCGCAGCTGAGCTCGGTCTTTCGTCAAGATACATCACGAAGTCTCAAACAAAAAACGTGCAAACCAGAAAGCATGTACAAAGAGACCGTTTTCCATTTCATATCTATCTTCATTTCATAAAGTCGTGTCGTGAATCATTCATGTGTGAGCCAGAAGACTCGATTGTCGCATCAACCAAAAACACTTCTTCTCTTTCCTTCCGAACCCAAGAAGTTGCCTCCATCCATCGTCAATCATCAGAGTCGCAAAAACAAAGGAATGGAGTTGCTCAAAAAGAAGAACAATAACATTCACCTCCTCGCTTAACCAAGCTTTCTGAAAGACAGAATAAAAAAAAGGTATGTAACAATACTTCTATCATCCACCGCAGTACAAGAGTAAACCAAGTCGGCCGTGTCGTGAATAACCATCGTGAGTAAACCAAGGAAAAAGAAGCATCTAGTACCTCGCACCCATGGGTGGGGGCGGGACCGAGCTACCGTAGGGATTCGCATCGGCATAGGACGTAGGGTAGGATTGGTTGGCAGCTACAGGATATGCGTACGGATTAGCGGCTGCACCATTCATGTTGCCACCGAGGGCGTTCATCCGGGCTTCCTTTTCGCGGCGTTCACGGAGCTTTCTCCTCTTGCGGCGGCGCGTCTCGAGTTCCTTGACGCTGTGGCGTTGCTCGTTCATCTCTTTCCATTCTGAGTAGGCGGATTTGATACCGAGGGCGGCGATACCCACGGCGGCGGCGTCCTGGAGCATGTTCTTGGACTTGCGTTTGCGCGCTTCTTCGGCGGTCATCTCGCCCTCGCCAACGAGCTTGCGGCGGTTCTCCGAGGCGACCATGGAAGAGTAGACTCCGTGGGCGGCGTGGATGGTGGCCACAGTGGCTAGACCCGCAGTGAGGAGTTCCTTACCTCGTAGCTTCTTGCGCTTCTCCTCCATATCGGTGGACGACTCGGAATCCGCGCTAGAATCCCGTCGACCCCGATCCATTCCTCCATTCTGTGCTGTTAAAGCACCCGCTCCTGCTCCACCGGCGGCGGCTAGTCTGCGATCTGGGTTAGTCCTGGAAGGGGCTTCGGAATACTGGTCGTCCATACCGCGGCCTCGGCTGTACGAGCGGCGGTTGCCCCTACGTGATGGCACGTAGCTGTCCGAGCTGGAAGAGCGGGATCGGTCCTTTCGAGCACGAGACTTGGAGCGCACACGGTCGTATAGAGCCTTGCCTGCTGCGAGCACAGCACCGGTACCAGCTACCTTGGCGATACCGTTGTTTCCTCCTCTGTCGCTGGAGTTGGAGCGGGAGCGGCCACGAGAGCGGGAGCGTCCGAAGATGGACCTGGACCTAGACCTGGCACGAGAACGGGAGCGAGACCTGGAGTCGTCACGGCCACGAGGAGCACGGGAGCGCGAGCGGGAGCCGTTGGCTAGGCGAGAAGCGACAAGACCACCGAGTGCAGACTCGGCGACGTGCCTCTTCTCGTGCTTGCCGGGGTCTCTGTCGATGAGACCGTCGATACCGGCAGCACCCAGAGCGGCAGTTGCAACACGTTGGCCCTTGGCACCGGTCCATGGACCGGCTTCCTTGCGGCTGCGGAAGGCTTCGACGGCACCGGCGACGATAGCGGCTTTGGCGGCTTGCTCCCACTTCTCCGACTTGTGTCCACCCCGGCTGCGGCTGCGCGAACGTGATCCGTAACGGCTGCTTCGGCGGTCGCGCTCGTCGTAGTATCCGTATCTGTCGCTATCATAGCCACGGTCGTCTCGACGAGGGCGGGAGCGCGATCGGTCACGACCGCCGCCAGTGACGGCGCCGATGATGCCGCCTAGGCCTGCTGACTCGCCGAAGTCCTTGACTTTGTCGACGATGGACTTGCGGCGCTGCATGTTGGGGCGCTCGGAGTACTCGGAACGGTCATCGTAGTCGCGGTCACGTCGGCGGGGACGGTCATAGTAGTCGTCGTCGTAGCCACGGTTCACTGAGCGGGTGCGGCGGGGCGGCGCATACTCCTCGCGGTACTTGGTCTGCCTATACTCGGCACCGGGAGGGAAGTCGCGGGGAATTTCTTCGATGCTGTCCTCGCGCGCTGCGGGGCGGTAGACGAGATCTCGTGCCCCGCCTCCACGGCCGCCGCGCTCAATGTACGTCGTCTCGGTGACGTACTCAGGCTCCCGCGTACGGTGCCGCGGTGCGTAGCTGTACTCAGACATAGTGATGGTGGTGGTGCTCTATACCGCCGTGGGCGATGGTGGCTCTAGGGGTCCGGCAGCAGGAAGGGTCGTATCCAGTCCGGTATTCTGCGCAGGGCTGGGTTAGCGGGCGCACGAGGGGGAAAAGAGGGCGGCGGCGTGCAAACATACCGAGTGGTCGCTTTGTTCAGATAGAGTTTACTTGGCTACTAGCGCAAGTGAGAGGCTGGTGGGCTGTCGCAACGAAGAATAAGGTGCCTGCGAAGTGACGGGACAAAGTGGGTAGGGGAATGGGGTGTCGAGCGGCGCAGGGCACAGGCAGGCAGTGGTATTTAACAGGTTGTCGACTCGGGAGGGCCAGGGCTGATGACTGTCCGTTTGGCTTGGGTCCCAAGGATCTATCTCGGTGCAGGTGGGGTGGCGTAGATATTACCGTTTGCTTGAGGCTGGGGTGGGCAGCCGTCTTGAGGGCACAGAGCGTGCGAGTGATGTCATTGCCGCCAGCCGGGCAGCCAAGCCCAATTCTTCTGCCACCACCTGCTGCGCCCAACGAGAAGCGCCTGTCCAACCCGGCTAGGTCTCATGATTTGCGCAGCTTTTCTGACCGGCATCCCTCACCGACGCATCCTTTGGGGGTCTTTTCGCTGCGAACATGTTCAACGTGCTGCTCGACATAGCCCCTCTCCGGCCGCCTCCGGAACCTGACCGGTGCCTCACTTCTGTCCATCTTACGTTGCGACGCCCCCATCGACAGCTGCCGTGAGGTAATGCTTATTCTGCCCATCTGCATGGCGGCGTCTTTCAACTCCACATGTCTCGCTGCGTCTCAGTCGTTCTTCCAAGTTTCGGTGCTGCACCTGGCCAGCTCGGCAGCACTCAGGCTCGATGACGAAGCCCGGTGCCATTGCGTGTAGGGGTGCTATGTACAGAACGCCACGTGAGTCAGCTGTCATTGGCCGACACCCGTGGCAGGCACATGGAACTCCAGCGAACATGCGAGGATACACCTGTCAATCCGTGGGCTGACACCTGAACATTGGCCCGAACTATGGAAAAACCGGGTACTACCTGTCAGTTGTCAAAAGATGCCCAACTACACACTTTTTTCCTTGAATTTTATCACGTAAATGACGATATATCTTTATGATGTGCCATTTTTAGTCGCTACGATCTGCCTAGGTGAGGCTAGTTTCTGGACATCGTACTAGGCGCATCGTTTCACACAAGTGCGACGACCTTTCTAATCCTCTTCTCGATATTTGAAACGCCCATCTCTGCATCATCGCTGGACATAGAGTAAACTGTACATGCATCGTTTGTCGCAGATCAAACCTGTTATCGCATACAAGCCATATCACCAGTCTCAGCTGCCAGCGATTGCCAGCTCTCTACCTCTGCCTCTTGCGCTGATAACCTGAGATGTACTCACCTTGATCGATCGAGCCCTCATCCTTGTCACTGCGCTGCCTCTTGTTTCCTACAGTCATCGAAGCTGTCATCTTTCCCATTTCTCGCTCCAAGTCTTTCGTAAACTCTTGCAACGCAGGGATGATACCGAAATACGCCTTGCTGCTCTCAGCTACGAGCGTCCACTTCTTCGTTCCGGGCTCGCTGAGTGTAACCGCGCGTATCATGATAAACTCTTCTCCCCTATCGTTGCGGCGGCCCATGGGCGCGGTCGCGGCCATGGAGGAGGAGCGGTCAAACTCATGGCGGCAGATGAGGATAGAGAAACCATGGTTGTTGGGGTAGGCGGGTTGGTACATATCGATGATGTATTCTGTTGCGCAGTCAGTATCACATATTCTGCTACAGCGCCTACTGGCAGCGGAAATATGGAAGTGACGTACCGAGGATGACTTGCTTGAGCTCGCGGTGCAGATGCAGCTCCTCGAGACGGCTCAGCTCTTGCGCTGTCCTACTGTTGGTCATGAGTGCGGTTTGTTGCTGATGCGGAGTTAAGGGTGTGGGGATCAAAAGTGAAGGAGGGTGGTAGTACGCAGGCGCAAGGAGAAGCGTCGGCGTGCGCAAGCGGAAAGCGCAAGTGCGCCACGTGGTGAGAAGTTCCGTTCCATTCCTGCTTTTATTATGGTCAATAAAGCCAGTGGTATCGGTTTGAATGGTTTACTCGGACGATAGAATGGCAGTGCTGTAGCATGTGTTGCACGATCTATCGAATTTCCAGCAACAAATATACAACTGGATATCAAGCTTAGAACATTATCGTGCAAATTAGGGCCAAAGTAGCATTATTCTCGTTGGCGTCTGCGCGTTACCGTCCCCGACCCTGATATTCACATCTTGTATTCTCCATGATTATCTTTAGTAGCAATCCCCGTTTTATCTTTGAATAACAACAATGTCTTCCTCTACAGGGCCGGTACGCTAGACACTCCTCTTACCCGACTTTGGCAACCTGTAGTTTTCGAGCGCGTCTCGCAGTTCTCTTGTTTTCTTCATTGAATCAATATCATCATCTCTAATATTCTCTATCGCCATGTACCTAAACACGTGCTGTTTCATGGACTCGCTTTTAGATGACTGGCCCGCGCGTGCGATTTTGACATTTCTGAGCGACTGTTTATCCGTATTGACACCCTGACCTGGAGACTCTTTAGAATCATCTATGGACGATTTCCTCGTGGAAATGGTGAGCTCGTGAACTTCCTTGGCTTTGTCTTCAAGTTCATGTCTTCCCTTTGTGCTCTGGTCGAACCATACATCGCAATGATCGCTGTCATTCCACTGTCAGTATTATATAGAAACATAGGAGACCTACGACTTACCATGTGAAGCCTCCACCAGGGTAATGGTGAGCTTTGACAGAGGCGCATCCGGGCATTGGGCAAGGCTTTTCCACGTTTGCTTTCACTATGACAGCCATCACAATACGTGCCCCAGGCGTGAGCTGAGAAGATGCAGTGATTGTCGACGATCTCCGGTCCGCTTTAAAGAACTCGTAGTTGCCTAGAGCCACATCTAGGGAACCAGCACCTGTTTTGAAACGGTATCGGATGTAAGTGTCCAGCAGACCGTAGCCGAGCTCCGATGGAATCTTGTATATGAAACCAAGAGCATCCTCAACATGAAAGGGTCTCTGAAGATAAGTCATTCCTGTGTCGAGGTCTCCCAGAGATCTTTGAATCTCAGCAAAGCTTTTATCAAACTGCTCGATGGAAAGTCTGCAGCACCAAAGGTAAGTGGTAGTACACGGTTTATAGTTGGTATACATACCGATTCTGCCTGACCGCGAGCAATAGTTGGCCCAGGGAGGTGTCCATATTTGACGTGTCTTTCTTCACATCTTCGACCATTGCTTGGTTCTTTTTCAGCGTCTTGTTCACCTGGTTGAACTTCTTATCGACCTTCTTGCCCCAGGACACCATCTGGTCCAGACCGTATTGCTCAAGTAACATGTTGATCGTAACAATATGAGTGTTCAAGTACATTTGTAGCGGCCCAACGTCTTTCGAACTACCAAAAGACCATTGGAACTTGCGCGCTGTCTTCCTGAATATGTTCGTTTTAGCTCCGATACCTAGAGAGCCATCGTATTCCTTTATCTTCTCCAAGAACTGCTGCAGTGGATACCGGCAACTGAGTGCAGCGAATTTTATGTAATCCAGTTGTTCAGTCTTTGATTCGTCAGTCGCTGGGAGATGCTCAATATGATCCAAAGCTTTGCTGAGTATATAAAGCTCTCGAATAATCTCCTGGTATTGTGACTTCGCACCACCAGCTGACTGCAGGCAATCGTTAATGTCTTTGATCAGCTTTCCAACCGCAATGAAGTCACCGACGGAAAATCCAAATGACATGATCGCGATAGCCTGGGGTCTCGTGTTGTGAATGTATCTCGTCCGACAACGCGAGGCAGGAAGGTGTGAGGGCGCAGCCTTGCGGCTCAATGATGTTGGCTGTTTTCGCAATGCAGCCCGTGGATATCGGCTAGGAGAGTATGGAGTAACCCGAGGATGAGTTGGGAAGGATACGACGAGACGGCGAGAAGCCAGTGCAATAGAAGAAGCGGCGATAGCTGCTATCGAAACGACCAGCTGAGAGTACTGCAGCTGCAGGTCAAGCAATTCGCCACAAGTTTCAGCCTTGCTGCAGGCAGACTTCTTGGGCACCAATGATCTACGACCACGAGAACTGAAACGTGGAAGTGACAATGGAGAAGACTAAACTTTTAGGAAATGTGCAATTGAAGACGCTGCACAACCGGATCGGCGGACATACCAGTGATTTGACAGCGATATACCAAGTCGAGGACATTTAGTAAGTGGGAGTTGATTATTTGCGCCCGAGGGAAGCGCAGATGTGCTGAAGCGAAGAGTGCAGGCACGCCACGTGGTAAGACCGGAAGTCACGACTAGTTGTTTGCTCTTAAAATGATACTCATCAAACATGTACTGTATACTTGTTGACATTTCACATTGCGCAGGTCGCATCCGATAATACGTCTGTCATGCACCGGTGTCGACATGTTTGCCAGCAACATGCGAATGAATACTAGACAAATGAACTCCGTACCGATCAAGGCATTTACCAAGCTCCCGCCCAACCTCCATACAACGCGGTGACCCTTCCTCGAAATCCGGCTCAAGCTCGAGTTGAATCGTCCCAAAGAATCTGCCGTCTACAGGACCTCCCACAGACACACTATAACAGGATATAACACCGTCAATCTTGGCGATATCTCCAGCGACCGGCCCGTAGGCGGGAGGATAGTCTCCAAACGGGTCACATCGGACGTTTCGTCGTGTGCTTCGCTCCATGATGTTGTAAGAGACAATGTTGGATGGTTTGTTGCGGGTATGCGCAAGCTGTTTGAGGGGGAATAATTTCGCGCCATTTGTAACGACGTCCTCGATGTTTGATAACATGTCGCTGGCCGGATAGTAGTCTACATCGCGATTGGAGCTGTATCAGTCGTATTAGAGAAGTGTCGCCAATGGATAGGAATGTGCTTACCATACAGACCCGCCTCCGCGGCATGGGATCGCCTGCGCGGACTCGCAATGAGGTATGGGCCACACTGCCTCTTTGATGATTCGGGTGCTCACGATGATGAACATCGTGATGGCTGTTCCAGGCTGGAGTCGGGAGGATTCGTTGATGATATCAAAACGGTTTTGTTTCCTACACAGTTCGTAGTTCCCCGCCTTCACCTCCATAGAGCCCCCGCCGATCTTGAACCGGTGTTTAATAACGGTATCAATCAGGTCGTAGTCATACTCTGTTGGAATGGGAAATTTGACTCCGAAGGCGTCTTCCACTTCCAAGGGAGCCTGGAAGAAGGTCCAGCGCGTGTCTACTGATATCTTGTTCCTGATATCAAGCAAAACATCGTAAATTTGCTGCGTTGAAGTACTGAATCAATCGTCAGCTCAGGCTTAAGCCCTACCATAGTTAGGTTACGTACAGGGTACTGCTGAGGAGCTGGAAGAGACGAATCAAATACGATCTGACGTCTCCGAAGACAAACTGATGCATGTCTTGAAGCAGTGTTTGGACATCACTCAACACGCCTGCCTGGCGCGTGTTCTCTTTGTTGATGTGCTCAAGAGCGGTTTGGGCGTGATGAAGCTGTTCGGATGTATGCGAGAAGTCAATTGCGGTTGTTACGCGCAAGATCTCCAGGCGTTCAAGACTGTGTTGCGCTAGATGGAGGCTAATGATACTGTGGCAGATGTGAATGTCCCGTCGAAGTTGTTCGATCTGATCTTTCCGACGGAAATGCCAACCGAGCTTGTCTGATGTAGCCCTCAAAGTGGATGCGTGGCTGGCGGAGCCCAAAGACCCTTCATACTTCTTTACTCTCGATAAGAACCCTTCAAGCTGTAACCTGCAGTTCGTGGTAGCATTCTTGATCGGGCCAACATGAGCGGATGCATTCGTGTCGTCCTCGATGTGATCGAGGTGGTGTAATGATGTATCGAGTGCGTTGAGATCTCTGATCAGCTCCTGATATTCCGACTCAGCTCCACCTACGGACCGTAGGCAGCCGACAGCTTCTTTTATCAGTTTTCCAACAGCGATGAAATCGCCAACAGCAATTCCGAACGACATTATTATATTTGGAAGTAAAGGCGATGTCTGCTCATCTCAGGTTGTAGGGATACATCCCGTTGGGTTGTTCACCGGCCCATAAGCAATTCGATGCTGTTGTCAAGCTGCGCGCAATAGAATATGAAAGGAAGTGGGCAAAGCGTGTGAGCGGTTGGGGAAGGTGGATTGAAAGTGACGGCAACTGCGAGATGATAAGTGCGAGTGACAGGATACAAGAGATATATAGTACTCCATCCTGACCATGCTCCTTTTAGGGTGGGCGAATGAAATTGGCGGGGAGGATCGTTCGTGCACTCCACCTGCAGCCAAGGAAGGCGCAAGCCTGCATGCAACTGCAGCTTAGTGGCTCCGCGACCCCTTCCAGCCTCGCCATTCGACTACCTGTTCGACCAACACCGTCATATTTAGAAACGTGTAACATTGAATAGCTCGGAACGGAAGAAGGGTTAGGATGCACTTGGACCCCAGATGCGATAGTGACCAACCGAAAGCGAAGATAAGAAGGCCGCAACTCAGATCCAGATGATTGGCTGCTTTGGCGGTGCTCCATTCCAAGCGTTCGCAGTGTCCAAGTAGGTTATCAGTACGTGTGGCAATCAATTGGTGGTTTCCTGCTCCGTCCTGATACATATGGTACAAGCATATATACACAGCGCAAGATCATTCTCAAACCTTGATCGCGTACCGCCTGGGCTTGTCGCTTTCGACGGTCTTTCCTGTCCTCTCCTTCGCCCACAACCTTAATCTTGACATGCGCTTTAGATTTGACGCCTCCCGCTTCCTCAGTATCTCCGACTCAAGGTCCTCTGGCGTAAGCTCCATAGCCGCTGCCTTCTTCTTCTGTATCTCGCGATTCGGCTTGGAAACGTTCTTGTGTAGTAACTTCTCCACTTGCTCTCGAAGCGTCCTGGCTGCTTCCCGCGTGTCGTTTTGGTCAATTGCCCCGCCCATCTTCACAGAATCCCGAATCTCTCTTTCCCTGTCTTTCTTGCCCCATGGTTCGAGGTCGGGTGTCTCAGGCCAGACGAATGGCTGCTCCAACTCTACTGTCATGTATTTCTTCGACTCCTCGCGGAACCAATGCCGTGGTTGTTCGCGCGTATCGCGAACCGGCATTTGCTTGACGTACGATCGGATGTTGAAGCATTTGACGTTGTAGGCGTGGTAGAGGTAGTCGCGGAGGTCGTATTTGGAGAAGTCTAGCGGGACCTGGAAGCGGGCATGGTATGGGGAGAGTTGGGGCGTGCGAAGAAACGCGACTGTGAATTTGGGGCTGGATCATATCAGCCTTGAGCGTAAACGAGGCATCGCCGTGACCTACAGGTATATTTTGTTGCTGCCGAAGGCTATCAGCTTTTTTGTGATGGGCACGGCGTCCATGGTGGCGGGGCGATGAGGTCCAGACTCTCCAATTGCCAGCGGTCGCAAAGATTCCTAGGTTCGATAAGGAGTACAATAGCGCTTTCGAGGAGTGCAAAGCGCGACGATGCACTATATCGAGTTGTAATGGCTTTCGCGATGCTCAGAAAATGGATCGGGAGTCGCTCCGCAAACGCCGATGCCCGCCAAGCCTTTCTCAACTTCGGTAGCCTTGCCCACGACTTCCTCCATCGCTCCTGCTCGATACTCTGTTAGGAGTACTCTTTGTCTGTCGCTCTACTTGACCACATGACTTTCGAGTTCAGATGGATGGATTGCGAGATCTTTCATGTGCTGCTTAGCATACCTTGTCATTTATGTTTGCCAGCCAACAGCTCTGCGCGATGCGATTCAACTACCTAAACATCAGAGGTCTATCTGCTTATTACCACCCGAAGCCTCTCTGTCGTGGATGCGCCTCCCTAGGCTGCATGTGTGGCTTTGGTGACGTGCTCAACCCTTTGTAGCAGGAGAGAGCTCTCCCTCCTCCACAACAGGCGACCTTAGACGACAGTGTCTCCAAGTAGTAGACCTTCCCCCTCACCCATACTAAGAGGATACTTCTCTCATTCTGTCGTAGATCCCAGCCATCTCATCCTTCCTCGTTTCATGTTCAGCTTCTACAACCTCTCCATTAGTGCAATCACTTCTTCATCAACCAAGCTTCCCACATTATTGCACACGATTTCCTTGGTGATACAGACATAGAGTGCGCTTTTGAGCTTGCTCTACCATTGTGTTGCGTTCGAGCTCTTCTTGCATCAGAGAGGAGGTGCAGCACAACAGCCTGGAGGCCTTCGCTGGCACTCTACTCCAAGAATATACTACAACGCTCTCTGGGTATAAGTCAATCGTACTCACACATTTCCCTACATTGCACCTTGAACACAAAATGAGACGAGGTAGGCGCGCTTTGAGGCTGTATACGCATGCGCACTAGCGCCACCGCGCGTTTGCTCTTTCCAATTCAGTCACTTCGACCTAACTCCGCAGCGACGAACACCACAACACTGCCAATCCTCTCGCCCCGACGCCGCTACTTTGACACTGCTTCTAGTTCTCCACACAAGAAGCCGCAGCAATGGACGGACAGGACACTGGCGCTCTGCCAAAGCCCAAGCCCAAGCCAAAAAGGTTCATTCCGGTGCCCCCGGAGTACCGTCGCCTCACTCATACTACAGAACGCGAGCACATCGTCAACGAGATCAAGATCAACACTGGCTGCGATGTCATCCCCAAATGGGACGCTGGGTATATCACTCAGTTCGCCATTGCTGGACAAGGTGCAGGCCTTGAGAAGGCCGTCCGATACATTAACCACTGGATCTCTAACGCGCATATCAAGTCAAAAGACTCATCATCATGGGCGAAGACACCTGCATTCGATCATAACAAATGGTACTACGACAGCATTGAAGAGCGAGAGCGTCAGCGGAAGGACGAGTTCAAGGGCAAGGCGCCTGAGGTATCAAAAGGCGAGATGCCACTGGCGAGCATCATCGTGTGCTGGCCGGAGGACCTCCTCAACGAAGGCGTCACTCCTCGCGATGTCTTCAATAACAAGCTAGAAGCGCTTAACGCCATTCGGACTCAGAACGAGGTGTACATAACGCTTCTTCCTACTCAAAACGACGTTTGGCAGATTGAGATACAAGGCAAGCCCATCATATATCTATTACATGCGATACACACTAACTTTTGCAGCCCGCGACATAGCGCGCATCGAAGCAGCCGAAGCGCATCTCATGACGATGATCGACAAAGTCAAAGCTGATGCTATGGGACTGCAGCATGTAATCAACATGATTCTTGATGAGAAAGAGGGCTTGGAGGTTGTTCTGGAGGAGGCTGACGCGTGGTGGCCGAACCTGTACGTGAATCACAAGCGTGAACTGCAGACGAGTGCTGACCTCTTTCGCTCAACATCAGTCAAGATCGAGTCGTACCTCGCCTCCTCTCCAGTGGGATAATGGAAACCTCCGGCAGTTTCCGCAATGAGATCATGCACTTCACGCAGCTTTCAAAGATCCAGCATTCATTTCAGCTGGCCCTTGAAGCTGTGCGCCACACGAAAGGCGCGTACGATATGGCTATTCGGCTAGGGTGCCTGGCTCTGAGCTCAAGACATATCAAGGAGGATAAGATTGGCCAGAAGTTCGGGAAGGAGATATTCTTGAAGTCGATTAACGGACCTGTTACAGTTGAGATAAAGAAGTGGTAAGTATGTCCCCTCGTGACGACTAGCATAATGGCTAACAACATAGGCTTGCTGATGATGCACTGGGCTCGCAAATCCTGGGAGCACTCTGCATGGCCAATGATTTCCTGGAGCCGACGAAGTCTTCTGCCTATTTCGGTTATACGCCGAAATCGCTGCAAGACACTCGTCCAATGTTCCGAGGAACGTGGGTGTTCACAGACCCCAGCAGCGTTGTTGCTCCACCGCGTGAGCCGGTAGCTGTGCGCCATGCTGGACGTCCGAAAGCGCCTCCCCAAGCTCCTGCTAGTACAACCACTCCATCCGCAGCGCCGCAGTCCGAACTCATCGTTGTTCAGGTCGACTGGACTGATGACGAGGAGGGCTTGTACGAGAAGACAACAACCCGGTTCTACAAAATTGATCAGGGTCGTAAAACACCAAAGAAGAACATGGATATCAATCTGCTGGAGCTGGGAGAGAGCCGAGGATGGCACTTCGCCCTTGAGTCCTTGATTCCTGTGGCAGCGAAGAGCATCTCGCCAGTCATTACTGGCTTCGCTGATCGAGTCAAGATGAGACCCAACCACGATTATCGTTCCACGGAAAGCTTCGCTGAGTGGGATCAGACACCTACCGTCAAGAAGCACCTACGGAACGGCCGTCTGGAAACCATCTACTCATTCGGCATCAAGCAGACCTGCTACAAGGTTGAGGCTACTTGTATGTGGTACCCAGGACAGAGACTTCCCGTCTGGGGTCTCTGTGTCCGCCACTCTGAATGGGCTACTCATCTTGCGGAACTTGAGCGTCTCCCTGTAGGTCGAAAGGCCGACTGGGGTCACACTGTGGCTACCTTCCTGCCAGATGACGGACAGTCTTGCTACTCCAGCGCGGTTGAGGACGAGGACTTCGGAATGAGGAACCTCGATCTGGGCCCTGGCGTTGAAGCACCACCACGCGATGGTATCCGCATCCTCATGGACAAGCTGCTTCAGCTATCAGCCATCGTCAGTTCTGTCACAGACATGGGAGGCGTCGCTATCTAAAGGACGGGAAAACTTGAACACCCTGAAGGCTACATTGACGTTAGGCCATCTACTTTGCATGTTTTCATGTTGATGTAGGCTGCAGACCTGTTCAGGCTCTTCCTTATATGAGGTGGTACCTTGAAGACATCCAAGGCGATCTGAACGAGCGTCAGGCATAGGAGTTCATTCTCATATAGTATCATGCCAACATGACGAACTCTCTACTCCAGTCTTGTGCCATGAATTTTCGTGGCCTCTTCTAGAAAGACCCGCATGGTCCTCCAGGTGTGCTTCTTCTCATGCCGCATGCGGCTGATCCGACACCGGCTTTTGGTCTTCTAACATGATGTTTGCGCATTACCTCGCAACACTTCAGCTGCCCTGCTCCTCACCCTTGCCCTCCTGTGCGTTCATAACCTTGAGCCTGATGACCTCCTCCACGACTCTGACATTCTGCGCCTTGCCCTGCACAACACCCTCCAAGTCCTTCAAACTGTCGCCCAGATCCTTGACCTTGCGCTCATAGAAGTCTTTTGCACTAGCAATATCCTTCTCTACGAAGAAACCCGTGCCTACATCTACTAGCACATGCTCATGATCCGTGAGTTTGCCCGGTACGTATAACGAGGATGTCAAGGGGACGAGGAGCGGTTTCGTGACGGTGGCTGGTGTGAGGCCTGTCGAGATGGAGTTCAGGCAGTCGCGGAACTTGGACTGGGCGGTGCGCAGCGATTGGAACGAGTTGGACAGGTGTGTGAGTTCGGCGTCGAGTTGGGTTTTTAGTTCCTGGAGGCGGGGGACAGGGAGAGATGTGATTTCGACTGCGAGGTGGGATTAGCACAATGCGCGACGACCTGAGATCTGGATATAATTACTTTGACCAGGCTGTGCGCCTTGAGCTTGAGCCATTTTGGTGACGCGTGGGCTGGTGCTGAGCTTCCAGGTGTTTGTGACGATGTAAACTTTACCAGGGGCAGGTTTTGGCGGGGCGGGTGCTTGCTGCTCGTGTGGGGTACGATAACGTGAGAGCGTGTCAAGCTCCCGAGCGAGCTGCATCCGTGCAATCCTTCACACGACAGTCTAAACCTCCATGCCGAAGCCGGCCCCTGCCGTTCCTCGCCATTGGAGCAGAAGGCCAGATGTACGACCAACAAAATATCCGCGGTTTCGGATCTTGACGAAGACGGAATACCTGGACAAGAAGAAGGAGTTCAGCATACCTGCATTCGACCCCGACCAACCCGCGCTCTTCAAAAAAGCCTTTCTGGATATACCTGCAATCCGGAAGTGGTTTAAGAAGGATGCCTTCCTCGACGCATCTTTGACAAACAAGTGGAATAATAAGCCCAACACATTCAGATATCCGCAAGAGCTGAACACAGCGTACCTCGAGCAGTACGGCGATGCGATCGTGCCATTGGAGCTGACGCGCTCATCCCCCGAAAATGCCCTCGGAAATGAAGCCTTTGAGCGCTTCGAAGCCCCTCTGGCTCTCCTATTACAACACATGAGTGCTGCGGACGTGCAAGAAACGAGTTTGTACCTCGCGCAACACTCGCTAGCCGATCTTCCAGTGCCGCTGCAAGAAGACCTACCTACGCCATCGACATTCCTATCCCACCTCAACGCCCGCGGCGATATCTACGCATCGAGTCTCTGGATGGGCAGACCGCCTACGCGCACCCCATTACATCGCGACCCGAACCCGAACCTCTTCGTACAACTGGCAGGCAAGAAAACAATCAGGATGATGGAGCCTGGGGTGGGTCGGGTGGTGTTCGAGGCTGTAAGGCAGCAGATACGGGGGCCTGGCGGGGATGCGAAGATGAGGGGAGAGGAGATGATGCAAGGTGCGGAGATGGAGGCTATGGAAACGGCTGTTTGGAATAAAGACGAAGACGGAGGTATGTGGAATGCGACGGGCTGGGAAACAACTTTGAGGAGTGGGGATGCGCTGTATATTCCTAATGGATGGTGGCATGCTGTTAGGGGTATTGGAAAGGGTGCAAATGCTTCGGTGGGTACAGTATGGAACTTGGTATGGGTATGTCTACTAACGGTTGTACAGGCCAACTGGTGGTTTCGCTGAATAAACTGCTAACGAAGCGCACATTGCTCGAAACCGATGGAGTACTTTCCGGCGTCAGCCGTCACGACTTGACTTCGACCCTCACAGTAGCCTCTGTCCCGTCGATCCATGTACCAATCGACCGCGTCCCAGGAACGATCTCCACCTCCCTCATGACCCGCTCCATACCCATCTCCGCCTCGCTATCTTCAGAATCCCAGTCGTCATCTACGATGTCTGTCGCTGATTTCCGCACCGACATCCAATCGCCCGTCTCCCAGATCAGTCTGCACTTCATGGGCTTGATGCCGAAGTGCTTCCCAACAATACCGAGAACCGTGTACGCCGTGCCGCTCATCGGGATCTCTGTCTCGAATACCGTGTCTGTGGATGTCGCAAGGTAAAACCTGATACGAAGCAACCGCGCAGCAAGCGAGTTAGGGTTCACGGCGTTGACAGAACGCTGAACGTCCGGCTCGCCATACTCCTCACACAACCACTTGTACCGCGGATGACTCTTCAAGATCTGCTCTTGCAGGTTCTCGGGCGCGAACTGCACTTCTTTTGCGATCATGGAGAGATAGTAGGACTCTGCGTTCAACCGCTCTTTCTCGTTGATAGGACTGTGGTTCAGCGTCTTCAACTGCCCCAGTCGTGCAAGCGTAAGCATGTATCCATCGTCTGCTGTCAAGTTCCGTCCATTCGGTGCCTGCAACGACTGATAGAGCGGGTTCTGCGATACGCGCAGGCTCTGGAGACCGGGGAAGACGTGTAAGAGTTGTTCGATGAACGCCCATGTTGAGATCTCGTTGAACGAAAGGTCAACTTCTCGGACGGTGGTCGAGAAAACTGGTATCGATGCGCCAGAACTGGTTATCTCGGAGATCTTGTTCGATTTGAGGATGAGGCGGTGCAGGTTTGGGAGGGCTGTGAGGCAGGCCAGTGAGGATAGAGAAGTGAGGTGGTTGTCTTCCAGTGTTAGGTCGGTGATTGTGGGGTTGAGGGCGTGTTGGGTGAGGCTTGTGTAGAGGTTGCTAGATGCGGAGAAGGTTGTGACCGAGGGGAAGAGATGCGTTAGGAGAGCGAGATCGGCCCAGGGTAGGAGGTTGTCTTCTAGTTTCAAAGAGGTTATGCCTTTGAAGGCGTCAAGACAGCGGGCTCGCTCTGGTTCTGACACAGATGTATCGCGAAGACGTATACCACTGCGCTTCTATTAGTATAGAGAAGAGAGAACCGAGCTTGGAGAATACTCACTCGACCCTCAAACTCCTCAACCCAGGTAGCTGTTCACAGATCGCAGCTACTTCCCTCCACTCTTCAAAGAGATTCCTGCTCAGATCAAGTTCCATCGCCTTCGGACATGCCTCCTTGACATCATTCCTCTCCCCTCCTCTTAACCACCCCTCGCCCCGTGCATCAGCCCTCTGCATACAAAGCCCATCCAAAATGATAATCTTCAGCTCCCCCAACTGCGCCAACTGCCTCCTAATCTTATCGAACCCAATCTCCTCCGCCGGCTTCCCATTGAACAGCACTGGTTTCTGTTTCTGCTGCACAGGCGGCTGGTGGTTAAAGACAACATGAACATCTGGATCCTGGAAGTCTTCCTCCAGAGCTTCAGAGGCGTACTTTGACTTTAGGGCTTGCACAAAGGTGCGTGGTTGGTCTGGTTTGCGGGTTGGGCGGATGAACGATGCGGATGTTGGGGAGGGGTTTAGACAGGTGAAGTATTGGGTGCCTTGGTGTGTGCCGGAGTGTTTTCCTCGTGTGGGCTCGTCCCATTCTACGCCGAGCCAGAGGCCGGTTGTGCCTTGGATGGGGCCGTGGTAGCGGATTGTGCAGAGGTGCGCATCGTAGGAGAGGCGCTTTCCTATGTAGATGTCTGTTGCCATGATTGATGATATCCTCGGGGATTCCTTCTCTTTTGGTAGGTACCTGCCCAGTTACGATGCAGACGGACAGGTCGTAGTACGTATCTCTTTTTCAATATGCCATGACAGAGGGACACGATGATGTAGGTACATTAACTATCCGATATACTCTCAGACCTTCTGGACAGAAAGTGAGAGCAGCTCACAGACGCTAGCATGCACTACGCGAGGTGAATGTGTGGAGGCAACCGCGCACGTGATATCGAAGTGCAGGGATCAGGTACCTGGACACTAGCGTCGCACGCCTCCAGAAGTTCTGTCGCGCAACATCACTTCAGCACGACAACTTCTACACCGCCCAACACCTGACTGTTACCTACGTAAAAGCCATCCTCACTCCCGTGTGATCGCGACCAAGATTGACTCAGCAGATCGTGAAGTTTCGTTCAGATGGATTACCAGGTACGTCTCTCGTCGCGAAGGCCAGGAACAGCTACTAACGTCTACAGAATCGCGCAGGCTCCAAATTTGGAGGCGGTGGTGTCGCATCCCAGTCCGCGACGAATGCCGACCGACGAGAGCGTCTCCGAAAGCTCGCGCTCGAGACCATCGACCTTGACAAGGACCCGTACTTCTTCAAGAACCACGTCGGCAGCTTCGAGTGCCGTCTCTGTTTGACGGTCCACCAGAACGATGGATCATATCTCGCGCATACACAAGGAAGGAAGCATCAAACAAACTTGGCACGTCGTGCGGCGAAGGAGCAGAGAGAAGGCAAAAGAGATGATGTGGGCCAGCAAGGACTGCTCGCGGGTGTACTGCCCAAGAAGAACGTCATCAAGATCGGTCGGCCTGGATACCGCATCACAAAAGTACGCGACCCCAACACACGCCAAAATGGCTTGTTGTTCCAGTTCCAGTTCCCGGACCTCACACCCGGCATCACTCCCAAGGTCCGTGTCATGAGCGCATACGAGCAGAAGGTGGAGGAGCCAGACCCAAACTACCAGTACCTCATTGTTGCTGGTGAGCCTTACGAGACGGTCGCGGTGAAGCTACAATCTCGCGACATCGACAGA